AGCCAAGATCAAGCTAGGCATGGTGGTGCGTACTGTTAATCTCAGCACTTAAGAGGCAAAGGCAGGCTGATCTCTGTAAGTTCAAAGCCAGCCTGGTCTACATAAAGAGTTTCAAGACAGCCAGGGCAACATAAGGGACCTTGTCTAAAAGGGGAGGTACAAACAAAATCATGGGGAAAACAATTAATCATTAAAGTGAATGTGCTGCTTTTGAGCATTTGGGGATTTTGAGTTTTAAAAGTATCTTGCATTGCCTAACACGGCTCTTACAGGTTATGTTGCTACTATTTTACCCCAAAACATTTCTACAGAGTCTTAGCCATAAGGACCCTCTTAAAAGATGCTCCTTTAGCCAGGCAGTGGTAGCACAAGTCTTTAATCCCAGCACTTGGGAGGCAGAGGCAGGTGGGGCAGAGGCAGGTGGATCTCCAAGTTTAAGACCAGCCTGGTCTACAGATCTAGTTCCAAGACAGCCAGGACTTTACAGAGAAACCCTGTATTGAAACCCGCTCCCCCCCCAAAAAAAGAGTTGCTCCTGTAATACCTTAATTAAAATTCTACTCGATGTCTGTTATCATTTTTTTTTAAACCTTAGGTCTATAGGCCGGAATTCTTCCTCTTTCTGGCTCATATTGACAAAGGCATGTAGACACCAATAAGCAAAAGCAGCTACATATGTGAAAAAGCAATATCCAAGAAAATCACTCACTTTTTCAATTTACTACTTTAGGGTGTAGGATATTTCTTTGAAACATTATCTCTTCTTATTTATAACATACTTCTGACTACTATTTATGCACATGTTTCAACTATTTCTAGAAAGATGATTCTGTATTATGTTAAAAATAATCTCCTTTAAATAAAAATAATTTTAAAAAGTGGCTTCAAATACGAAATTATTTTGAATACTTTTACTGGAGAGAGCTCAGGCTTACTGAGCTTACTTTCTTCTGACAAGTCTGCCTCTCCCAGTCACAGAATAAACGGAAATTATGATTCATAACAAAACAAAACATACAAGACAGCAGAATCTCAGGCAAGACCATTAAGAACTATGCCGCAAAACCCCTCACACAATATTTTTAAAGCCCTGTACTATATTCATCTTCTAAGGATACACTGGAAATTATAAAATACTAAACAAGGGTATCCTAGCATGTACACTGAAAATATACTGCATATATATATATAGAGAGAGAGAGACAGAGAGAGAGAGAGAGAGAGAGAGAGAGACAGAGACAGAGATAGAGAGACAGAGAGAGAGTTAATACTTGTAACACAATATAGGAAACATGTTTACAAAGCAACACTAACACAGGTTTAACACAAAGTATTTGCATTTTTTATGTGGTCCCTAAATCAAGCTTAATTCCACCCATACCCAGAGTGCTGCAAGGAACAGGTATGACTGATATTAAAAGAGTAGACAGCTATGTGCCAAGAGGTATGCAGTGCAAAGTTACTAAGTCTTTGGTGAAATACTATATTTACATACTCAACAGCATACATTAGTGAAAAATTCCTGTTGCAGTAACTCCTCCCAAGATTATATTTACATACTCAACAGCATACATTAGTGAAAAATTCCTGTTGCAGTAACTCCTCCCAAGATTTATTGTCAAAGCTTGTAAGTGGATATACTGGGAAGAGTTGCATGCCTGTTAAAAAGAAATCTCCCAAGCAAATGCACAACTCAGGCCTGCTACAGTTGCAAGAGCAGAGGACCTACTAGCAGAACAAAATTCATTTGGAAGCATTTGGAGCTGGACATAGTCCAGATTTGAGAAGTAAACTGTTGCACTGTTTCTGCAGCCTCAGAGAAAGTGAAAATGACACTGACTTTATTTCTTCTGCAGAACAATTGGCTACCAATAAAATGCTGCCAACCCTTCACTTTGCTGGAAGGACCTGGGCCCCTTCACTGCAAACAGTGAAGTTTCAAGCAGGAACCAAGGTGCCTGCTGACAATCAACGCAGGACCTGTTTGATAGCATGTGTGAGAGAGGGCAAACCTACAAGGCTCCCAGTCATAGCAAGTGAAAATCTATCCTGAATTTTATGAAAAATATCACCAGATGCTCCAAAATTTCCAAATTTCCAAGCAAGGTACAACCCCAAAAAGCAAAAGAACGAAGTTATTACAGGCAGAGGAGAGAGTTGGGCTAGGCAGAAGGTAAAAACCAAAAGAGAAATTCAGAAAATTCTTACCTAAATATGGTCTATCAATAAGAATGTTGGTAAAGGACAAGAATATTATCAGATTCTTAACCTTTCCTTTCATGGATTGAATGAGAACTGAAAAGGCTTGGGAAGGCATAAAGACTAAGATGAAGTGATTAATAATTAAACATAGTATACAAAGTATCTTCTCACATTTGATCTACAGGAGAAAAAAAATCAAAGGTAGACTGCTTCTTGTTTAAGGGGGAAGACGTAAAGCGGTAGGATAAAAAGAGCTAAAATGAAAAAAAAAAGAGTTAAACCGAAATTTAAACTAAAATAACATCGAACATTTTCTTCTGTTCCACACAAATATTGAGTGCTTCGTAAACAAGTGGCTAAGATACACAGCCATTAAAAAGTACGCGGCGACTCAGGGTAATTCACTGAATGGAGTAAGTAGGAAGGCACAGACAGTATAACTAAGCACACTGGCTGGGAATGCAGCTCAGTGGCAGAACACTTGCCCAGCACTCACGAGGGCCTGAGTTGTATCCCAGCCCTGAAAAAAATAGGAGGAGCCACGGGATTCCAATGGTGGACTTAAAGATGGAGTAATAGCTATTAAAGTGGGCAAAACATTTTATTTCTTCCGAGGGAAAAGATTTTGCAAATTGTCATTTAATTCTTTTCCTGTCTTCTCTCTCTCTCTCTCTCTTTTTTTTTTTTTTTTTTTTTTTTTTTTTTTTTTTTTTTTTTTGAGAAAGTGTCTCACTATATAACCCTGGCTGGCCTAGAACTTCCTGTGTAGATCAGGCTGGCCTCAAACTCATAGAGCTCGGTGTCCCTCTGCCTTCTGAGTTCTGGGATTAAAGGCATGCAATACTATGACAGGCTATCATGTAATCCCGATAACTCAAAAAAATATTTTAGGAACTGTCATCAGTTCTCACAAAACACTCAGTAAGTTGTACCTTTATAGAAAAAGATACATACACTGTTTTTGTACGTAGTCTTCCACTGCTACAAATTACTGAGTATATCTCCAAATAGCCTTACTACAAATGGTAGGCTCTTACTGCTGTTATTAATAGTCAAAAGATGTAAACATTTGGACTCTGGATCTTACTTGATTTTTCTATGGTGAGGATAGAATGTTTGCAAGGCTTCATATTTGTAAGTGCTCCATCACTAAAAGTTAGGTCTCCAGCCCTATACTTGCAATTATGTTAGCCCAGGCTGGCCCGGAAAACTGCCATTTTCTAAAAACATATGACATTTTGCAAGATGTCTAGTAGCTCGATTGGGGGTGGTGGTAGATAAATAAAAATTGAAAACAAAGTAATGAAACCAGAATAATGTTAGGAGGAACCTGCAAATTAAACTTTTAATCAAAGCTGAGACTTACCAAATAAGTCTGTTCACTTTCATTATGTCTGAAAGAACACCCTGGCTAAATTAATCACTTTGAGAGGTATCTTTCATCAAAACAATTCGCTAAACCAAGGCTTACAACACATCCAGACTGAACCTCCTGTTAATTTACTAAGATGATTTAGACCGGGGGTGGAGGGGGAGTGGGAGAGACGGACACACTCGCTAGTAAAAGACATGGGGGATAATGGTAACAACCTTCTAAATTTTCAAAATACAAGCACGATCCCTATGCAGGATGATTTAACAGTTTGAGTTCCTCTTATCAAGCTACTGCAGGCAAACCAGTTCTTTATCTCTTCACCATGGGAACACAAAAAAACTACCCCACGGAGGCTAAGGGTCAGATCCTGAGAATCAAATCATCGAATTTGACTAGTGCATCTGCTCTGAGTCCAATCTTGCCCTTGGCAAATCCCTATGCAGCTAAGAGCAAACCTAATTTCGGATGCAAATAGGTAAGCTAGCTTCCTAAAAAACCTCTGGCCCCTGTTAAACCAGTTCCCTAAGAAGATTCTGCGCAGGCACCCCCCCCACACCCGCCCCCCACACACATTCAGTGGTTGCTTCGCAGGAATTTTCAACGAAACAGCAACAGTCGCTAAGGTAACTGAGAGCCGGGCTCACTGTGACTGAGCGCGGAGCAGAAAGGAGCGTTCAGGGTCTGGGAGCTGGGAGCAGCAGAGGCGAACCATTTCCAAACGGGTGGGGGGGTATGGGGGGTGTGGGGGAGGGCGGGGGTGGGGCGCGGGGGCGGGGTCCAGGGGCTCCAATGCAAAGGAGCAGCTCCCGGAGGCCCGCTCTAGTGCGTCCCTGCGCTGGGAAGGAAGAGGAGGGGAAGATGTGGTGGAGGAGAAGAGGACGGGAGCAGGAGGAGGGAGAGGAAGCCCTGGCAGGGCGGGCCAAGGGATGGAAGGAGGGTCCAGAGGAGGAGCCCGGGCGGCAGGAAAGCCCGCGCTGGGCTAGGAGCACGTTAGGGCGGAGTCCCAGGCGAAGGGGCCGCAGCCTCACCAAGGGCCTTGAGCCCTCCTTCCTCAGCCTCCTCCCCTCCCTCCTTTCCATCTCAGCAGCGCCCTCACCCTGCCTCCGGCTGCCTCATACAAAAGCAAAATGTCCGCCATCTTCCGAGGTGATCGCAGCCGTCGCGCTGCAAGCTTAGCCCTCCCGTGCCTTTTCTACACGGGCTGCCCATTCTCGGGTCCCTCTCTGCGACCCCCGGCCGCCGCTGACCTCCCCGCTCCTCCTGGCCTTCGGCGCCCCGCACCCAAGCCCGTCCCGCAGGGCGACGCAGGATCGCCACGGGCGGAGGCAAAGGGGCTCAGCGGCTCAGGCTGGCGGACGCGCTCGCTCTGCCCGCCCGCCCGCCCGCCCGCCCGCCGCCGCGGCTCCCCCGCTGGCCTGTTTACCTTGATGCAGTACGGAGGCTCATCGTAGGTGACCAGCATGTACCTGTCTCCGCGGCTGGCCGGGTCCCGGGCTCGCAGCTGCGGGGCGAGGGTGACGGAGGGATCGCGTAGGAAACGAGGGGAAGCGATACAAACGTTACAGAAGCACCTCCGTCCAACCGCCCCCATCCCGCAGGAGCAACCCCCATCTCTCCGCTCCCCTCCTTTTACCTTCAAGAATAACTCCACAGCGCCTTTGGCAATGTCCAAATAGGAGGTGCCCAGGTCAGTGCGCTGGTTCATGGAGGCGGACGTATCTATGAGGAACAGCAGGATGGGCATCTTCCACTACACCTTTGGTTCTGGTCCCCACTCTCCCGGCCCCTTTGCCCTCGCTGCCACGTATGGCTACCCAAATCCTGAACTCTCACAGAGCCAGGGAGCAAGAGGAAGAGGGGGAGATGGAATGGGATAGATGGGACCGCTCCTGGCCTCCTCTTTCTGCAGCCCCAACTCCTCTCCCTTCAGGAGAACTTGAAAGTGTGAGTGTGTGTAGGTCTCGGGGCCGTCCCTCTTCCCCTCTTCTGCCACCACTACTGCCTGCTGCTGCCGCCGCTGCCAGGACTACTGCCTAAGCATCCGTCCACGCTCACTAGAGCGCTCGCCCCGGACTGAGAGCCCTCTCTGTTCACTGACACAACTTCTGTCTGCTCACCTACCATCAGCACCATGTGACCAGAACCCACGCCATTGGCTGCCAATTATGTTTAATTTGCATATTCATTAGATGACAGGGTAAGGGGAGGGACTTGGGTCAAGCCTAAGAGTTGAAGTTTGAACCCTTGCTGGAGGTAAGGGGCTAGAGAGTAAAGAACCCTCTTTAAGCTCAGATTCTCCTTTAAAGGATTGGGAAGCCCTTAGGGTAATTTGTTTGGTCGTTTCGATAGATTTTCTTTTGTGCTTCAAAGATAGTGATTCGAAAGGAAGAGAAAATTGAGCAACAGTTGTACAAAACAGATGTTTAGGCAGGCTGCACAGAAAACGTTGTGCTAACTACAATTAATCAGTCCTGCCAGTGGCTAAGACCGAAACATTTCAGTAGCAGCAAACATATTTCCTGGCCATACTTGCTCGAATTCCTTTAGCTTAGTCCCTCTTCCTGATCAGTGTTTATGTGTCGTTATCTCGGTTGTATTCGGCATGTAGCTACTTAAAAAGGATACTAGCACTGAAACAGTTCCCCTAAGCTATCTTTTTGCAAAGACAAGCTTTCTCAAGCTTTGAATCACTGGTCAACCTGTGATACTTCAACCACTGTTGTGACTATTATTATTATTATTATTATTTTGGTTTTTCGAGACAGGGTTTCTCTGTGTAGCTTTGTGCCTTTCCTGGATCTCGCTCTGTAGATCAGGCTGGCCTCGAACTCACAGAGATCCGCCTGGCTCTGCCTCCTGAGTGCTGGGATTAAAGGCGTGCGCCACCACCGTTCGGCCCATTATTTTTAATATAGATGATTTGTGAGTAGGGCTGAAGCACATTAGTAGAATGCTTGCCTAGAACATGTGATGCCCTGGGTCTGATTCCCAGCACCGATGCTGATGATGATGCAGAGGATTTCTAGCAATATGCTATGTACAAGTTGGAATCTTGGGGTTCAATGAGTGTACAATTTTAGTGAGAAGACCACATACATATCTGCAAATGTTTTCTATATTGCTGTAGCCATCCTGTGTATATGTTCTCTCTCTCTACATATATATATATATACACATATATATGTATATATAAATTATGTTTTCTGAGAAATAAGATTTCAAAAGTGATTCCATGATAGTTTATGAACCATAGACAAAAAGTAATGCAAGTAAAAACACTGTGGGAGCAATTGTCCATGGTCTAGAAGTTCAGGTTTCATGGGCAAAGAGCAAGGTGTAAAGGAGGGAATCCGGGTGAGAAGGAATGGTGTGAACAAAAGCCAACCAGAGACCATACTATGCCTGACACATTTCAGGCCGATGGGTTGGAATATAGAGAATTACTGGGTTAATAAGGGTGGAAAGACACGAAAAGCCCCCGTTTTCATTCTGTTTAAAGTATTATTGGAAAGGGGTCTGGAGATATCGCTCATTGGATAGGAGTGCTTACTGCTCTGGCAGAGGACCCGAGTTTGGTTCCCAGAACACACATGGAGTGACTCACAACTACCTGTGAGTCTCAGTCTGGGGAATCCCACACCTTTTTCTGGCCTCCACTGGCACCATACACATGTGCGCGCGCGCGCACGCACACACACACACACACACACACACACACACACACACACCACATTCATGTAATTGAAAATAAAAATAAATCATTAAATATTACTGAAGAAAGACAGTAGCTACATGGGCTAGGGTGCAAATAAATGTTTATGACCAGTGGATGCCTGTGTGCTAGTTTTTGTATTGTTGTGTAGTAAATTATCACAAATTCAGCAGCTTAACACATACTTAAGTGTTATCTCATGGTCTGATTTAGCTGGATTTCCTGCTCCATCTCATAGAGCTGTGGTCAGGGTATTGGCCAGGCCACATTTCATCTGGGAGCTCAACCGGGAAAGAATCAGCTTGGTAAAGCTCAGGAAGGCTGTTGGCAGAATTCATTAGGACTGTATGTATAGAGGCTGAAGGCCACCCACAGATCTGCCTGCTGCTAATGTTCTCTGCCACACAGTCCTCTCCATCACCTGTTCACAACGCAGCTGCTTCTTCAGGGCCAGCAGGGAAAGCTCTCTCTCCAATCTGCTGACATAGAACCTTATACAATGTAACATAATCATGACAGTGACATCCATTACTATTACCACTGACTAGAAGCAAGTCAGGGGTCCCACCCACACTTAAGGGAAAGTGATTATACAGCAGGGGTACAGATCCTGGGGCCCATCTGAGAATTCCGCACAACTTTAGGGAAAGAGGGAGCATGACCTAGAAACCAGCTTTGCATAATTTATAATTTTCATTAAAGCCAATTTATAAGTAATAATAGTAATAAATATGTCACTCTCATCCAACCGAATAAATACATTGGGTTGATTTATCATCTTCTGTTGAATAAATTACAGTACTACTCATGAGGAGTTTACGTTTTATTATGACATTATTGATTCATTGGTAATAGGATTGTTGAGGCATAATGTGCACTAGTTCAAGAATGTTTTTTTTTGTTTTTTTTTGTTTTTCAAGACAGGGTTTCTCTGTGTAGCTTTTCGCCTTTCCTGGAACTCACTTGGTAGCCCAGGCTGGCCTCGAACTCACAGAGATCCGCCGGGCTCTGCCTCCCAAGTGCTGGGATTAAAGGCATGCACCTCCACCACTGGGCCACAAATGGTATTTTAAGATGACTTTTGAAAATTTCCTTTAGGGGCTGGAGAGATGACTCAGGGGTAAGAACTTCTACTGCTCTTGCAGAAGACCTGAGTTCAGTTTCTAGCACTCATATCAGGCCTATAAGCATCTGGAACTCCAGCTCCTGGGATCTGATGGCTGTACTCATATGCGCATACCCACATGTAGAAACACATACATACAGGGAATTCAAAATAAAAAATAAGTCTTAAAAGATCTCAGCCGGGCGGTGGTGGCACATACCTTTAATCCCAGCACTTGGGAGGCAGAGCCAGGTGGATCTCTGTGAGTTTGAGGCCAGCCAGCCTGGTCTACAGAGCGAGATCCAGGACAGGCACCAAAACTACACAGAGAAACCCTGTCTCGAAAAATCAAAAAATCAAAACAAAACAAAACAAAACAAAAACAACTCTTATACTTTTCTCCCAGATTTTTCTCCCAAGGTAAACGCTGCAGCAAGTTTCAAAAGTAACTTGTCAACATTAGCAAAGCACAAATAGCTTCAGTCACACAATTCTCCAGCAGCTGAGGACATACAGGTCCTCAGGGTAGAGTCTTCCCTGGCAGGCAAACTCCTTATATTGTACTTGTTCTCCTTCAAACAAGGCAGGCATGTTAATTTATTCTTTTTGGCATAAGCTCAAGTGTAACTGCAGTGATGTAAACCTAAAAATCTGAAAACTGTCCACATCTCATTATAAAATGCAGAAGTGGCAATATACAAAAAGTAGCAACTTAATGGATTTATATACTTACCCAGATTAAGTCAAAACCCCAACTGGCTTTTTCAGTATGAACTCTATTAAGGTATACTATGTAGACCTCTACGCCACACATTAATACTAAGACCAAGATGTCTTTCTGTATCTTTCTCTGCTACACACCGTCCACTCCTGCGCTGCAGTTTAAGTGCCTTGAATTGACTTGTCCCTCCAACTAGAGTGTAAACTTTTTTTAAATTAATTAATTTATTTATTTTGTGTACAGTGTGCCTGTGTGTCAGAAGAGGGCACCAGATCTCACTATTGATGGTTGTGAGCCACCATGTGGTTGCTGGAAATTGAACTCAGGACCTCTGGAAGAGCAGCCAGTGCTCTTAACCTCTGAGCCATCTCTCCAGCCCGAGTGTAAACTTTTTGAGAACAATCAAAGCCTATGACTGATGCCTCGTGCAAAGTACTTGCTCAATAAACGCTTGTTAAAAGAACTTATCAAATTCATCCTGGTTTTCACTCTTTCGTTGTCTTCTCAAGTGCTTGGGCATTATGTTGCATATCCTTTCCTAGAGCTACCCAGCCCTGGACCATTGTCCCACCTCACCATCCTCCACCTGAGGAAGGTGTCCTTGCGGCTCTAGGACCTTTAGGATTAGGGCCCCGGCAGGCCTCTACCGATGAAGTCCTTCAACTGTCACCTTGGCAGCTTGCCTTACGTTCCTTACAAAGTTGTTTGGAGGAGTCGACAGCACACTGTTTATCTCCCTCTGTCAAATCTGCCCTACTATTCCCCAATTTGAGGTTTGTTGTACTTGCCAGACTTCTGGCGAGTAAATGGATCTTTTTCATTATGTCTCTGTGAACTGCATTGCCCATCCAATCTTTTCAGTCTTCTCACGTTTGTTGAACTTGGGAGATCTTGAAAATCATTTCCTCTTTCCTCACATCTCCATTCATTATCTGCTTTTTCTTCATTAATAGGCCCTAAATTATTTTCCTCCCTCCCCATCATACTTCCTCATTTCAGACGTTTCTTGCTCATGTCGGGTGCCACCGGATGCTTCCTAGGAAGGAATTTCTAACTTAATACTGCTCGTTCCCTCTACCCAAAGGCCAGCCTTGTGCCACACTTACATTTTATGTGCCTGGCCATAGTGTGCTTGCTGCTGCAGAGAAGTGGCTGCTTTGTTCCAGTATAAGCCTATTTCACTTCTCACCTTCCAAAGAGTCAATCCTCTTGAAATTAAGCATGCCCTAGTCATCACATCTTAAGAAGATCTGACTTCATGATTCCTAAATCTGCTTTTCATGGCTCAGAGAGGAATAAAGTCTCCCTGAATGCTTCCTCCATACCCTCACATTCCTTAAGCCCATACTGTCTGATCTCTTTCTCCAGCACTCCATGGAAACTGCTTAGATGTCCTCAGTGGCCCATTTCTGAACAAGTCCAATGGTCTGTCCTACATTCTCCCATTGGTGGCATTGCTATTTGCCATTTGTCTTCCTGAGCTCCCCCACCCTACCCACCCGCCTCATGAACATATTTTCGGGTGTAGTAGTAAGTGAACGTAGTAGTGAATGCTAGGGCAGTACTATACTGTTGAGATATATCCTGGTCCATCACCTTCCATTTCTTCTAGAGTCATCCTATGCTATGGACTAAGAGTTTTTTTCACCATGGCTGGCGTGTAAACATAATCTGTCTCACTTATTCTGCCCTAAATCTTTTCTTCCCACTGCCCCCACACAGAACTGTGTTATTTCTACAATCTTTATTCACTTGGTCATTCTTTCCTTGTATTTAAAGTTTCTTGGATGGGCTTTCTATATGAAAAGCAATGGAGGAACTGTAGCTGTAAGAGCTTGGATTTTTGTATTATTACAACTTTGCAATAAGCCAGCATGTGACTTTGGGCACGTTATCTGACCTTGCTCTGTTCCAGCTTCATCATCTATATAATGCTAATAATAATAGCACCTTATATGAGTATTCAGAAAATTGTATGAATTAATATTTATAAAAGGTTTTATAGCCGGATCTAATGGCTCGGGTCTGTAATCCCAGCTACTTGGGAGTCTGAAGCAGATGATCACGAGTACAAGGCCTTGTAGGTCTACAGAAAGAGTTTAAGGCCTGCCTGGGTGACTTAATGAGAGCCTTTTTCAAAACTAGGTAAACACAAA